ATCGGATTTACTTTTTGTGCCAGATTTATTTTCCAAAAATGACCACAATAATATCTCCAGTCCCACCAGCTCTTCTAGAGCCTTGCCATTTCCTCTCCTCGGGTGGGGCCTCTTCTATGAGGGGATGGCTGGAGAGATTCCTGGTGACTTCCAAGACAAGGTCATACAAGGTGGCTCAGCCTCAGCTGACCCCACTGTGCGCAGAGGCGGATTGTCCCCACGGAGTCTCCCCCAAACTGCGGATTCACAAGCAACATACAGATAGATACATGACCACTGGTTAAAGTGACTAAATTTGGGGTGGTTCATTTGGGGACGTTTATCAGCCCTTGCCCTGGACTGAGAGGTTTCTCAGGATGAGTGGCTTTGGGTGAACTGGGACGGCTGGTCCCCTGAACTTTCGGTCTATCAGATATGTCTGTGATCTACTGACCTCTCGAGCCCTGTTTAAGAGGGTTCCTCTTCTCTGTATTTAGACTAAAGTTCCGGAGACAGATAATGTAGCCATGTGGTCCATGTTGAACACTGTGGTGGCAATAGTATGTGTGTTCTGGCTAAATCCGCCCTCCCAACCCCACTGGCCCAAGCAGGCAGCCCGCACACTGAAATGTGGAGGAGGGAGCCGGGGTGGGGATGTGGGTAGGGCTTTGTGCTCTCCAGGCTCAGGGTCCTTGTGCGGGGGCACCTCTGCCTGGGGCACCCCCACCTGCTCTTCTCATTCGTTTGGATTCTCTCGTTTTCTCGTGGTCTCATCCCACTGGAACACAAGCCCCACGGGCCCGGGAAGGGCCTGCACCCACAGGTCCCGGTGTGTCTTCAGGCCTTCAGCAGTCACGACCTGGCCAGAGGAGGTGCTCAAACACTTTTTAATGCTGAAAGAATAAGTGAGTTGAGAGGGCACCCAGGGTTATTCGGGTTCAGCTGTCACCACGGCGGAAACTTCTTCCATGAGAGCCCCGACAGGTGAGCACTGCCCTTAAACTCCTGTGGGACGGAGACCTCACCACCTCACAGAGCAGCCTGTTGCCTTCCATTCTTTTTTTTTTAAATTTTATCCTCACCCGAGGACATTTTTCCATTTTTTGTTCAGGTAGAGTGGGAGGGAGAGAGAGGAACAGAGAGAGAGAGAAACATCGATGTGAAAGGAACACATCGAGTGGCTGCCACCCGCACGACCAACCAGGGCCGGGGACAAACTGCAACCGAAGTACGTGCCCTTAGCGGGAACCGAACCCGGGTCTCTCCAGACCGCAGGCCGACGCTCCAACCGCTGAGCCAAACCGGCCAGGGCTTGTTGCCTTCCATTCTTAGTGAACGATTTCGAGGTGACAGGAAGAGTCATCTTTCTGTAACTTAGCTGTTGCTCTCCGGAGTTTTCCCCATCCCCCCCGTCTCCTGGAAGGGGAGTGCTGGCTTCCGTTATCCCCCCACCACCCCCGGTGACAAGGCGCCAGGCGGGTCTCTAGCCCTTCCCGGACCCTATGTCTTTGTGCAAACTGCAACAATTTCTTATTTGAGTCACAGAGGCCAGCAGCATGTCCAAGGGATTCTGCAAATCTGTAAAAGTTAAGAGAGAATTCATCTTCGAAATGGTTCAGAAGGCTGAAGCCATCACTGTTCATAGAACCTGACCCCTCTGCTGAACTTGGAGAGCAGGATGGGGCTCTGTGGACCTGCTGAGTGACACCGCAAAGGGTCGCCTCGGATGCTGGACTAACAGCCGGCGGGCGCTGGGTGATGGTCTGCTGGGGCAGGGTTTCCCAGGCGGCGGCTCTCTGAAGGGTTCCCCGCAGGCCGTCAGATCCTGCCTCCTCGCTGTGGGTGCGGGCGCCCCGGGGCCCTGTGTAGAGTTGTTGACCGGGCAGGACCTGGAGCAGCCCTGGGAACCTGGCATGGGGCCTCTCGTCCTGGTCTGCGGTATGTTCTCAAGGTGTGGCCTAAATAAAAAGCCCAGCCAGGTGAAGCCTCAAAGGTCTGCCCCCTGTGGCTCTTTTGTCCTGAGCTGGGGAGTCTTCATGGTGAGGCTGCTTTGTCTTGTGACAGAAAACAGGCAGAAAATACCTCTGGGAGATGAAAATGCTTCACCTCAAGTCCTTCACGGACGGAGGGCATCTCCCAGTGAACCCAGAGCTCCCCAGACGCCCCCTTCCTTCCTGAGGACCTTGGGCAAGGGCCTCCGTTGTTTCCATTTTAATTAACCCAGTGAACCAGCATCTACCTTTCAAAGGAATCCGAGGGCACCGCTCCTGCCAAGTCCCGGCTGAGTCCCTGTGACACTCGGGAACGGCAGCCAGGCTCTGTGTAGGTTGAGGAGAGTCCGAGGAGAGTGGAGATTATAGCGAAAGTCTGCCTTTCTTTACAGGGCTTGTGTTGCATCCTGAAATCTCAGGTTCAGCTATTACAATGAAGTCCTGTTATAGACAGAGCTGGCCTTTTATCACCACTTAAAATCTAATTAATCCATATTGAAACACAAAGATTTCTGTTGTCTTTTAGGGTGAGGGGTCATAGAGGCCTCTTTGTTCATCCTTACTTCGACGTAGAACCATCAAGCATTGGGATGTAACTTTACCAAGCAAATCGGAAGGCAACAGTTCAAGTCCTTATCGGAAAGTCTAACTCATGGTTTTCACAGAGCCTTCGTCCTTTACATGAAACACTATATTCAAGAAGAACAAAAACGCATTTCAGAGTGCCCAGGCAGTTAATGCCCAAAGCGTATATTCCGGCAGCATAGACCCAAGACCAGCACACCGCTGTCCACCACAAAAAGACGGTGACTCCTATAGGGGTGGCAAAAGTCACAAGGATTGTTGCAATGGCTTTAGTCTTGAGAGTAGTAATGCAATTCGTCGGACTTCTATTGTCTTTGCTGGGATGGGTTTTATCCATTATTACAACTTATCTGCCCCATTGGAAAAACCTCAACCTGGACTTAAATGAAATGGAAAACTGGACCATGGGACTCTGGCAAGCCTGCGTCATCCAGGAAGAAGTGGGGACGCAATGCAAGGACTTCGATTCTTTCCTGGCTCTGCCTGCCGAACTCAGGGTCTCCAGGATTTTAATGTTCCTGTCCAATGGGCTGGGATTTCTGGGCCTGCTGGTCTCTGGGTTTGGGCTGGACTGCTTGAGACTTGGAGAGAGGCAGCAAGAGCTCAAGAAGCGGCTGCTAATGCTGGGAGGCGCCCTGTTCTGGACAGCGGGCATCGCAGCCCTGGTGCCGGTCTCCTGGGTCGCCCACATGACCGTCCAGGAGTTCTGGGATGAGACGATCCCAGAGATTGTGCCCAGGTGGGAGTTTGGGGAAGCCCTCTTCATCGGCTGGTTTGCTGGGTTTTCTCTCCTCCTAGGAGGGTGTCTGCTAAGCTGTGCAGCCTGCTCCACCCCAGCTCCTCTGGCTTCGGGCCACTGCGCAGAGGCAGAAACACAGACTCAGTGTCCATACCTGGAAAATGGGGCTGCAGATCCGAAAGTGTGACTTTGACAAGGCCAGAGAGACTTATTTTCTGCACTAACTGTGATGTAGGGGTTTATAGGAGAAAGTGGCATTTGTTAGGTAACTAAATCTGTGCTGCTCACATTTTCTCATTTAATAGTTACTTTTCTATCCTAGATACGCCCTTCCCCCAAAAAACATCTGGAGAAGAGGCTATCTTAGATCTAAAAGAAAATCACTATGTTAAGCATTACATAGGTATGAGCAAAAAATGTCATTGATCTGGTTATTTAAATCAAAATGTGGTGGTGGGTTGTCCAATATAGTATGCATTAAGGCTTAATGTGTTTGTTTTACATTAGAAACTTGTTTGTTGGTAGCTGGAAATAATAATTACTTTGTTTCCTAAAGAGAAAAACTAACAACTGGAATCTTTTGAGCATTCTGCATTGGCAAAGCCAGAGGTTAAGCTTATCCCAAAGTGTAATTTCCACAACAATGACTTTGTTCTTCTTTGATCAGAGGTGGTTTGTATTTGGGAAATTACAAGGCGCCCTGTGTGAGTGGCGGTTTTATGAGGCTTAAAGGTTTTCAGTACATCAGGATGCTCTCAGGTTTGAAATACTGGCCAATCTCTTCTTGCTCTTCCCTGAAAACCTTTGTGTTTAACAAGATAAACAATTTAAAAATTTTGCTTAATATTGAGAGAGTGACAGTTCACTTGCCCTAATAAAAACTTTCCTTTGTTAATTAGAATTACAAACTTGGGAATGAATATACTTCAGTGTTGCAGCTAAAGAGGTGTTGATTCTAATCTACAAAGTCTTATTGCTTAGCTTTTCTACAGCATAGGAAGCATATTTAAGCAAAGAAAAAAAAACAAGTGTTTATGCACCTGTGTATGAATTTGGCAGAAAGAAATGTAGGTAAACAGCCCTGATATTTTGTTTAATATTGTTTCCTATGTTGTGTGGTATACATAGCCGAAGGAATTTTTAAAAAGTAAATCTGATTTAAAATCTGGAGAAACTTCTGATAACACTGATTTGGTTAAGAAGTACTTTCCTTGAACCGGTTTTTAAAAAAATGGTAACACTCGGTGTTATCACAACCCAGGTGAAACCATCACAGGTGAGAGCTGGACAGGTGCGATTAGCAAGACGGGGCCGTAGGAGCTGAACCCACACTGTCCAGGAAACATTCTGCATTTAGACTCCTTAGTTCTTTAACACGTTAGAAAGGTTGGGAATAACACGAAAGCTGTTTAGACGTTAACAATGAAAGGAGGATTATTACTGCCTAATGTTATTTCAGGGACAAACTGCTTACTAGAAAATTGATCTTGGCCACTCCTTGGCATTACTGGTTCGCAGAATTAGTTCCCTTTCCTTTTCTGAAACCCATTCAACATGGAATCAAACAATAGCAGCTCTGGCAAGAATCCTCTTATACACACAATGAAAAACTATTTCTGAGCTCCGCAGGGATAACACGAGCCTGTCACTCTCCACAGCAACTGCAGGACAGCGGCCAGTCTGCCCAGCGCTCACGGGGCTTGATAATGGCTTTAGCATTTAGAGCTGTGGCACAATTAGCTGGAATGTCATTATCTTTGCTGGGATGGGTTTTATCCTGTCTTACAAACTACCTGCCACAATGGAAAAACCTCAACCTGGACTTAAATGAAATGGAAAACTGGACCATGGGACTCTGGCAAGCCTGCGTCATCCAGGAAGAAGTGGGGACGCAATGCAAGGACTTCGATTCTTTCCTGGCTCTGCCTGCCGAACTCAGGGTCTCCAGGATTTTAATGTTCCTGTCCAATGGGCTGGGATTTCTGGGCCTGCTGGTCTCTGGGTTTGGGCTGGACTGCTTGAGACTTGGAGAGAGGCAGCAAGAGCTCAAGAAGCGGCTGCTAATGCTGGGAGGCGTCCTGTTCTGGACAGCGGGCATCGCAGCCCTGGTGCCAGTCTCCTGGGTCGCCCACATGACCGTCCAGGAGTTCTGGGATGAGACGATCCCAGAGATTGTGCCCAGGTGGGAGTTTGGGGAAGCCCTCTTCATCGGCTGGTTTGCTGGGTTTTTTCTCCTCCTAGGAGGGTGTCTGCTAAGCTGTGCAGCCTGCTCCACCCCAGCTCCTCTGGCTTCGGGCCACTGCGCAGAGGCAGAAATGCAATATCTCCATCAACACCTGAAGATGAGAAACACTCACCTGAAAACCTAAGCCAGGAGGGATCAGTGGCATCCAATCCTCAGGAGATGCTTGCTCAACCCCGGAATGGGTAGGATTTTCTGCTACACAGTCACCCCGTCACTGTGCTTACGACTTTCTAAAATGCATTTTCCCCTGTGGCTATTAGCTCCTTAAACTATGATTTCTTTCTAAAATGATAAACTACTTTTCTACTCTGAGACTAAAACCAATCAAGACTTAATAGTAATCATATGCATCTCTGTGGATGCGTTTTCTCAATTTTAAAACAGATTCAGCGATTGCACAGAACTGGTAAATAAAACATTCTATCAGTACTTACGTATCTCGGTGTCATTCATAGACATGAATCATTCTAGCAACTGGAAATGTTACTGCTAATCACTTACATCTTTCAAGTGTTTAAGATCACCTGCTATACAGAAGCAGTCTCGGTGCATATTTAAAATGTATGCCATCTGATTATATTTTTTAAATTGCTGGCTTTGAAAGCTTGAGAGGTGAGAGACGTGGACACATCATGTCTTTAATCAGAAACCTCAGGGCCTCCATGGAGCCTTCCCACGAGTGGGCCACACTCCTTCGTGCCTCTGTACCGTGAGGAGCAGAGGCCAGTCTTGTGTATTGGAAGGTGCACATAAAATCTACCCACAAGTGTGCTTTTGCATGTGTCCTGTGCTCTGCAGATGGCCACCACCCCCACGCCCTGCAGGGGGCGCTGCAGGTCAGGTCTGGGGTGCGTGGGCAGAGAACCTCCCGGGCACCCTGGCCCAGGTTGCAGAGACACTGCAGGGTAGGGGGCGCTGGCTGAGTTCATATTCTGGAGCCTGTGTTTTACTTGCACAGTAAAAATATTCTGCCGTAAGAAAAAAATCAGCAATAAATATCCAACCAAGAAGTATTCACAACAGATTGCTGGCTTGGGGAATTCTTCATGAAAGATTTTATATTTGCTCGGTACATGGTTCAAGCAAACTCTTGTGTTTGAGCCAATCAGGGAAATTACCTGAACAAATGACACAAATAAAGTCTTAGGTAATATGTATCTTTGTTGGAAAAAAACAAAACAAAAACAAACCACTGAACTTTTTCCCACCCACAAACACATGAAAAGTGCAGAAACCACTTAACCTATGTGATGTATTTGCACACTTTTACAAACAAGACAAATTAAAACAAACATATTCAGAATTTAACCTGATTAAATATTTAGTTCAGTCCTGAGCTTTTGATATTCAATACAATATAGATAAAGTAATAGCAAAAAAAAAAAAAAGATTTTAAATTTAGTTGATTTGCATGTGACAGAGATTCAGCTAAACTTTGTTCATTTGGCTAGCAATATGCTCTTTGTACCTGGAACACTTAGATTCTGATATACAAAATTGTAGTAACATAGTGATAATTCAAACTTGAGAACTAAATATTACATTCTTTTTACCCTGTGCAGAATAAATTCTACTTTTAAAAAATAGCATTTATAATATTAAAATTCATATTGTCCATATGGTTTTGTAATCAAGTTATTAAAATGTTTGTCACTGCGAATCATTTGGGTTAGTACAAATATGACAGGATTATTAAAAGCTGCCTATAAATACATAACACTATTGCTGATTTTTAAAGTGTGGAAAAGGATTATATTAAAATACATTTCTCTCTCATGTTAGAAATGAACAAATTTTGTAAAATAAAACTGAAAGCAATCTTGGTCACAACTGTTAATTACCAGCCTGAGACAGATTTTATTCTTTTATACTTGTCTGAAACTTTTTGTATCACAAAAAGCTAGCAACTAATCTGATGAAGATTTATAAAGCTGTAAATATTCCAATATAGCCTCTTCTATGTCAAACATTTAAAATGGCCAGAACCGAACTATATATTAAACAGAACATAAATAAGACCGTAAATAAATAAATGAAGAAAATAAAATCGTACGGTACAACTACACATAATTCTATAAACATTTTCATGGTCAAACTAAGAAGCTGAAAATAGCTGACCTTCATTTCACTCTACATTAAATAAACTTCTGTCTTTCACATTTGACCTTGACGAGGATGAATGGTATTCTTTTTCTAGTTTTCCGCAGTCATCTGATGGAATGAACTAGACAGCCCAAAGGACTGTGCTCAGTCAATCCACAAGGCTGGTCCTGCTCAGAGTAATGTCACGTCCAGTTATAGTGTCAAAGACATTTGCGTATAAATGCGGGACACTCAGAAGAAAATAAAGTTCTAGGCTCAGACACTGTTTCATTTGAATTTTGATTCTGATAAAATGAACTTTCTTAAATATGTGTAGTTACTTTCAAGAAAATAATTCTCGCTAATGAGGATTCTAACTTAGAAACAGAACTTCTGTGTGTGTTTTTAAAGGGGCCCATTCCTTTAAGATGATTTTTGCATTTCCTTTTTTTTTTTTGGTATGTGTCCCTAGCAGGAACCGAACCTGGGACTCTCTGGTCCGCAGGCCGATGCTCCAACCGCTGAGCCAAACCGGCCAGGGCTAATTTTTGCATTTCTAAAAAAAAAAAAATTAGTTTGTTATAAAGATGGCTTACCAAAAATGACCTCTCCCAGTATTATAGAGTAATAAGTATTATTTAAATTGCATAAAACTATTTATTTTAAAAGCCTTTATGCTGGTTGAGCTAGACGGGTTTCTTTTAGGAAGCACTTGGGTTGGGGAAGCTCAAGTTCTACCCTGGAAGACAGGACAGGTAGCCAGGCCACAGCCCTGAGCGTGTCCATCTGCAATGGCTTTTGTGTCTTAGCCTGTACTTCGAATTAATACTCTCCCCGGGCACACCTTCCTCTTTGCCTCCCAACTCCTTACCACAAATTACAGGTAGAATCCCCCAAATGAGAACTGCAAAGTAACAGCTACTAAATGTTACAAATATGTTTAATAAAGGATTAAAAAATTTTTTGGCAACTTTGATTCGATCAAGATACCTTCCTCTGTCCCTGGTTTCACCGAGGGCTGGTGCGTTCCCTCCAGGTCATCAGACGCCTGTCCTGAGCGTGGGGCCGCCGCCCTCACCTCGGACAAAACGTCACTGTGCGGGCCGGACTCACGCTGAGCGCTGAGCCCACGCGGGCCGAGCGGGCGGGTCCCAGTGGAACGCGGGTCACCCTTGTCACCCGCTGGTCCCAGTGCCCAGATACTCTCTCGTTTGCATTCCTAGGTGCTTGAAATCAGCATTTTGTTTTTGTTTTCTTTAGACAAACAAAAAAGGAGAAAAAATAAACTGTTGTTCCAACACAGGTGACGGTAGTGAACGCAGCAGCTGCCTCAGGGGACCTGGGCTCTGCGAGGGGCGAAGGCTATCGCTGGCGCCTAGGGCAAGGGCTGCTCGTCCAGAACACCCCGTGGGCCCCCTGCTCCCGGTCCAGGGCACCCCGTGGGCCCCCCACTCCTGGTCCAGGGCACCCCGTGGGCCCCCCGCTCCCGGTCCAGGGCCCCCCGTGGGTCCCCCCGCTCCTGGTCCAGGGCACCCTGTGGGCCCGCCCCCGCTCCTGGTCCAGGACACCCCGTGGGTCCCCCCACTCTTGGTCCAGGGCACCCCGTGGGGCCCCCCGCTCCTGAACACCCTGTGGCCCCCCGCTCCGGTCCAGGACACCCCGTGGGTCCCCCGCTCCCGGTCCAGGGCAGCCCGTGGGCCCCCCCCCCGCTCCCGGTCCAGGGCACCCCGTGGGCCCCCCTGCTCCCGGTCCAGGACACCCTGTGGGCCCGCCCCCGCTCCCGGGCACCCCGTGGGCCCCCCTGCTCCCGGTCCAGGGCACCCCGTGGGTCCCCCGCTCCCGGTCCAGGGCACCCCGTGGGTCCCCCGCTCCCGGTCCAGGGCACCCCGTGGGTCCCCCGCTCCCGGTCCAGGGCACCCCGTGGGTCCCCCGCTCCCGGTCCAGGGCACCCCGTGGGTCCCCCGCTCCCGGTCCAGGGCACCCCGTGGGCCGTGCCAGTGCCGCTCGCTCAGGGAAACGGGAGAGGCAAAGCCCCGCTGCGGTTCTCTCGCAACAGTCTGTCCAACCGGACACACCCCGGGTCCTGCCTCGACCCCGTGTCTACAAAATGAAGCCCACGGGCAGTACACACATACTGTACATCTGTGTGCCGGGCTATCCCGTTGGTTACCTGACTCTTGTTGTTGCTTTTTTGTATAAGAATTACATTCAAGGTACTTTACAAATTAACATGTCGAAATTCCAATGTGAAATAAAAGCTCTTTAAGAGTTGACAGTTATAGTACACCCCACCCCCAAACCCGATGTCCAGTCTTCCTCCCTAAGAGCGACCAGGGGAGAGCCCGCTTCTCCCGGGGGCTCACACGTCGTCAGCCGGCAGGGTCGGGATGCTTATCCTCGCTCGGGTGAAGTAGGCGATCTTCTCCCTGGCGTCGGGGGGAAGGAACCCACTTCACTGCGATGTCGAAAACACCCCGCGACCACGGGGATAGTCCCCGACCCCTGGAGTGCCCCGCGAGCCCCGACAGGAGCTCTGTGCTGAGAGAGAACCCCACTTAAATCAGGGGCCTCTGCCCTTCACAGCAGAGGCAAAGGAGACTCTGGCTCGTGTCGGCCACCCACAGACCACGGCAGTGACGGTGCCCCTTGCTGCAGTCCCAGCATTAGGCCATCAGGTAAACCAGCAGGGGTCAGCCCAGGGAGGGCGTTTCTAACCCAGGCAGGAGAGGACCCAGGAGGGCTGAAACCCTAGGAAAGTCAGGGACCTCACAGAAAGTTACGTGACACGGGGAAACTCGAACATCAGGACCAGGACTGGGCGCTGAGGAGCAATGACCAGATGAAGGGAGGAGCAGACCCGGGGGAAGGGAGAAGCTGCAGGTGAGTGACTGAAGGGTTTCCGGAGGTGGGGGAGGGTTCGACAGTAAGGGCTCAGGATCGTAGTTACCAGCGACAGGGCCAGTGTGTCCACTTTCCCTACAGAATCTTCACCTCAGAGATACGAGCCCATCGACACACCAGTACTGGGCACGTGTCTCAAACGGGGACACGCTGTCAGCCGAGAGCACGTGCTGACCCACCTGAGAACGTGACCGTCTAGCCGGGGAGGCAGTGCGGGCCAGAACCAGGAGCTGAGGTGGACAGACCCGGGAAGAGACAGAGAAAAGGAAGAGTGGAAGAATGACGGGGATCGAAACGAGAGTTGTTTTTGTGGTGTAGTGCCCTTGTGATTTGTTCAATTCCGGGAGGGATAAAAATAAGAATTAAAAAAGGCACATGGGTGTGGTCGTGATGTCACTGAAGACCAGGAGGGCAGGGCAGAAAACTGGGGACCCCTGCTGGACCACTTACCGCAAATGGGTTTCTGTGGCTCACTCGGTGTCATTTAAATGCACATCAAATTCCTGATTTCTCACTTCCCCTGACATACCAGAAAGCCAGGGGGCACTGGGCTCTTGGTTCCAAGGGACGTAAACAGCTGGGAGAGTCGCCCACAGGCCAGACCTGCGCTCCCCATTCTCACCACCCGGCCGGCCCCGCCCACTCATCCTTACCACCGGCCTGGGATGGAACCGGGTTGTGTGCTCAGGGGCATGGGGGTGTCTCTAAATATTTTGGGTTTTAGCAGGCAGCTGGGGGCGTGCCACACTGGACTTGCGTGCCTCAGCTCACAGCACCAGAGGGGACGGGATTCCTCTCACAGGGGAGTGAACCCAAGGAGCAGCTTTCTCTGTCACCAGAGGGAGCTGCAGCCTCGTGACAGCAGGGGAGGCCGGGCTCTTCACTGTGAGCTCCCCTGTTCAGTCTGAAGCCCACGATGCCTCCACTTCCTTCCCTCCATCCTGGGCTCACTCAGTCGGCACCGACCTCCAGCTCCTTCCTCGGGCTCCTGGCACCCAGGCCGGCATCTCCTCCTCTGTCCCCACTCCTCCCCGTCTGTCCCCACCCCTCCCCACCTGTCCCCACTTCTTCCCGTCTGTCCCCACCCCTCCCCGTCTGTCCCTACTTCTTCCCGTCTGTCCCCACCCCTCCCCATCTGTCCCACTCCTCCTCGTCTGCCCCACCCCTCCTGGTCTGTCCCCACTCCTCCCCGTCTGTCCCTACTTCTTCCCGTCTGTCCCCACCCCTCCCCGTCTGTCCCACCCCTCCCCATCCCCACTTCTTCCGGTCTGTCCCCACACCTCCCCGTCTGTCCCCACACCTCCCCATCTGTCCCACATCTCCTCCAGACTAACAGCATTCTACAGACTCCTCCATGTGACACACACACACACACACACACGCGCATCCAAACCGACAACCAACCAGTAAAACAAAACCCTTTCTGGTGCCTCCTCTCACTCATCTGAAATGGCCACGGGTGGCACCAATGGCTCCTGACCACCCAGTTGGGGGGGTGGTGATTTTCGGTCCTCTGCTTTCCTGGTGCATCGTCAGAACCTGCAGCCCCCAGCCCTCCAGCCCCAGGACCACATTCTCTCCCGGTCTCCTTGGACCTCTCGGCCCTTCCTCCCACAGCTTTTCGGTTACGTGTCCCGGTCAGCGGTGGACACCCACAGGGCCTCCTGTCCTGGCTGCCTTTTCTCATCTTCTGGGATGTCTGACTGTTCACACTGACGGAACCGCCACGTGTGAGACGAAGACCCCCATCTTCATCTCCCATCCTGACCTTACTCCTGGCTTTGGGTCTGGACTTCTACTTGCCCACTGGCCACAGCTGCCTGGGCTGTCCTAAGGCGGAGCTCGCTGTCCTCGCGATGGCCCGCTGCTCCTCCAGCACCTCGGTCCCCCGCGCTCGCCCGCCCTCGCGCCCCACCCCAAGCTGGCCTCCTGTCCCAGTGCTGCACGGCCCACCTCGGCCACACCCTCCGTGTCACCCCGCACAAAATCTATCCCCTTCACGTGCTCTTGTGCTTGGAGACCCTGCCGGCTCCCTCCCCACCTACACCCCCAGGCGAGCGCCGGCGGCACGTGGCACGCCAGGCTGTGTGGCCTGAGCCCCGCCTGCCCACAGGCTCAGCCGCTGGCGCCCGACCCGAAGCTGGGCCTGTCCTTTGGTGCCTGTCTGTGCCGGTCCTCCTGCCCTGAGGCCCTTCTCCGGCCCACCACCCGAGGCCTGAAAGACCTGCCCACGCCCCTGCCACGGTCCAAGCACCACCTCGCAGGACCTCTGCTGGCTTCTGCCCACCCCAGCCCTGTCACCTGAGGGCCCAGTGTGGCCGTGGCTTACGGTGGCACCCGAGGAATGGCTGTCGAATGAGTGAACAGGAAAACCCTGACGTAAATGCCTTCTGTACGTTTTTGTATTTTGCCTCGAGATGTGTCCATGAGATGCGGTAACTGCTTCTACGAGCGGGGACACCTGGGTCCTCAGGAGCCAGGCAGCTGCCCGTGGAGTCTGTGCCCCCAGCAAGGGGCTCACGGAAAGCTATTGGTCCCGTCTGGGAGGGAAGGGTTGGGTGTCTGCACCCTGATACTAGCGGCCCGCGCACTCTGAGGTGAGTTCCAACCCAGCGGTGACCCGGGCGGGGCCGCTTACCTGAAGGACTGCACCTGCCGAGGCACCTTCCGGCTCTGCTCCCGCAGCCGACACACATCCTTGGAGACCTGCCGCATCAATTTCTCCGCATTCAAACCTTGCTTCTGTTCTTCTTTGGACTGCTCAGCCTGGCCAGGAAATAAGAACAAAACCCAAAGCACACGAATTAGAAATGCCCGGACATGCTAGGTGCCCTCAAAGACGGCAAACAGGAGGGCAGCCTCAGTGTCACCATCGGGACACGCCGTGCCACTCTCGGGCTGAGCCACAACGGGGCTGGCACGGGCTCGTTTACGGGATCCCACCGCAAGTACCTTATTACTCAGGCAGCGTGTGATCCGTTCAGTACACCTGGAAAACCTTAGAACCCTCAAAAGAAAACTAGAATCTGAGAGCACTGTGTTCTAGAAATGCCTACTGCTAACATTTTGGCGAACACACTTTCAACCCCTTATTCATCTTTTCAACCCTTTTTTCTATCTATCTTAGTCATTTACAAAGCTGTTCATTGACACAGAATTTACATACCAAAAAAAGTACACATAAATGTATAGCTCGGAGAACTTGTACAGACTGAACACACCCAGGTCACCAGCACCAGATGAAGAAATGGAACACCCCCAACTCTTGCACCCCCAGGCCCCCTTCAGTGATCAGCCCAGGCGTTACCAGCACCTGCCCCCAACAGCAGGGCCACTTTGGCTTCTTCTGTCTACAGAAATGCAGCAGGTACTCTTCAGGGCCTGACTTCTGCTCAGCGTTGTGCTCGTGAGAATCTCACGCACCAGCGCATGTAGGTGTAACCTGGTGTACTCACTGCCGTATAATATTCCACGGTGTGAGTTCATCATGATTTGTTATCTGGGCTATTGTCTATGGAGTCAGGTATTTTACATGAATGCATTTAAAAATAAATGTAGAATAATAGATACTATGTTGAGCCCTGGCCAGTTTGGCTCAGCGGTTGGAGTGTTGGCCCGTGGTCCAGAGAGGCCTGGGTTCGGTTCCCGCTAAGGGCATGTACCTCGGTTGCAGTTTGTCCCTGGCCCTGGTTGGTCGTGCAGGGGGCAGCCACTCGATGTGTCCCTTTCACATCGATGTTTCCCTCCCTCTCTTTCCCTCCCACTCTATCTGAACAAAAATGGAAAAATGGCCTCAGGTGAGGATAAATAAATAAATAAAATAAATTAAAAAATAAATACTATGTTGACTGTTCCCTTTTATTCTTCCAACCAACAAGTACGTGTTGGTGGTCTTCCTTCTGAAGAAAGGCGGCACACGTTCGTGAAGAGCACACACGCTCTGGGGCCTTCCTGCCTGGGGTCCCAGTCCGTCTCTGGCATTCACCAGCTAGGTGAATTTTGCCAGGCTGCTTGCCATCCTATGCCATAACTTCCTCATCTGTAAACTGGGAATAAGTACTTGTTTCAAAAGGTTGTTGTAGTTTAAATTAGTTAATATACATAAAGTACTCAGAGCAGTACCCAAACACATCATTAAATCCATGATTTTAGTGTTTAGCTATTAGTTTAAAAAAAACCATAAGCCAACCCTGACCAGTCTGGCTCATCGGTTGGAGTGTCTATCCACAGACCAAGGAGTCAAAGGTTCGATTCCAGTCAAGGGCACGTACCTTGGTTGTGGTTCGGTCCCCAGCCCTGGTCGGGGTCGTGCGGGAGGCAACCAGTTGATGTGGCTCTCACATCGATGTCTCTCTCTCTCTCTCCCTCACACTCTATCTGAAGATAAGTGGAAAAATATCCTCGGGTGAGAATTAAAAACACACACAAACGACATGCCAGGCACTGTCCCGGGAGCCAGGGGTAGAGCTGTGAACAGGAGAGAAAACAGACCAAAGGCCCCGGGATGCAGATGGTAAGAAACCACGTCCCAGAGCATCCGGCAGAGAGTAGAGTAGCAGGTGAGAGTCACAGCACGGAAGCTTCCAGAGCGATGCTGGGGTCACTGTTTCCCCAGTGCCCCTGGTTAGAACTAGGAGGGAGAGTGAAGAGGAAAGTTACCCAGAACCAGCATCCAACATTTCGCCCAGAATTCCTGTTCTTACAGCAGCTTTGCAAACACACACCAAAGCCAGCGCACCTGCTTACGAGGTCTCACTGTCTGCCCGACAGGGACACTGACTGTTCAGACAACCACTTCCCTCCACTGTGCATGACGTCTGAAGGCGCCGCTCCACGGAGGGCCAAGCGCCCTGCCACAGGGCGTCCCCCCGACTTCGGCATGATCATCCCCGGCAGGGGCCTCTGCTTTTATCACCATCAGGACTTTGTCTGCCCCCTTCCTCTCCCTGTTTTGAAAGATTTTCGGTAGAAAAGGGGTCTATACATGTCAAGTAACAATTCTCTCGACTATTTGGTAATTGATGAGATAGTTAGCTGTCGCTTACAGTCTCTGAATTTATGTAACTTAAACCAAAAGGGACAAATGTGATGTTTTGTTTCCCTTGTGAAGTCTTGTATTTAGTAAATGGATGGTTTTTCGCTAGGTCACAGGTAAGGAACTACTGACTTAGCGAACACAAAGAAATTATTTCTGCCATGTCATGAACATCCAATGAGCACATCACTAACTACACTGAAGTACTGTGCCATTCTAATACCTGCTACCTTAGGACCAAACCATTCTTTTTTAAAAAATATTTTTCAATACTCACCCAAGGAAATGTTTATTGATTTTAGAGAGAAGAAGGGGGGGTGATAGAGGTAGAGAGAGAGAGAGAGAGAGAGAGAGAGAGAGAGAGCGCAATCAAATTCCCCTCATATGTGCCCCAACAGGGACTGAACCTGCAACCTAGATATGTGCCCTGACCGGGAATCGAACCCACGACCTTTAAGTGTACAGGACAACCTCTAACTGAGCCACAGAGGCTAGGGAGACCAACCAATCTTAAACTGGCCATCTGCTTATTGACTTGAACAATGGACAGATCAGCACAAGCCAGAGAAGGAAGGTATGTGCTGGATATACTCAGGTAAGAAAATCTGACCCAGTTGCCCCAACAAAGTGTACTTTATCAGACCAGATATACAACAGGCCCCAGGGATCCACCCAGTCGTTTGTCTCTTCCACATGAACGACACCGTGGTGGTCTGTGTCCCCTGGGAAGCACTGATACGGTCTCATGGCCACTGATATTTTCAACGGCCAGCATTTTTGTGGTGACTATAGAATCACTTCGAAACTTGGCTGTTTGCTGCCCAACAAGACTGACCGTGGGACACGGGGAGACCGTCCTCCTGATGACCGAGAAGATGCTTCACTGACGCCTACACTGGTCTCTGTGTTAATACTTATGTCTGTGCCTCTATCTTTCTCCAAAAACCCGAGTGATGCAATACATCCTAGTGTCTGTCCGTCGTTAATCATCAATAGCAGTCAACTCATCGATGAACAGCTCACTGCAGGCAGTGGTATTTTACTGAACGAGGTCTATTATTATCTTTGATGTACTCGTTTTCTTAGCAGATTCCAACTTTTAAAAAGGTTAACATCTGTATTAAGTTTTAAAAGAAGTGCAGCATCCCAGAACTCAGGTGTTTTGAAGGGGAGGTACGCTCAGGAAGAAACAGGAGGTTCGGCCTTGTCGGCTCCTTGGGAACACTCCAGCCTGGCCGGACACACCTCTCCCCTCCCACCCAACCAGTCACGAAGGGCAGCCTGGGTCCCGAGGATCGGGGAGAGTGCGACCAGCCTTCAGCTTGTGCCAGCGGCCTGCCCTGCCGAAGGGCCCGGCGATTCTCTGTGACATTAGGAAGCCAAGAGAGAAGGAACACGGCCCGGTCCCGCTGACAGCCCTCCAGCTCCCTCTGCGTCCCTGGGGCTTGGACAGCACACGAGGACACTCACTCTGACTCCATTTTAATTCCAGCTACAAAAAAGACATTCAGCCACCAAGGGGCAGGGTTATGGGATGTGACCCAGACACCTGACAGCCCCCCCAACAGGGAGGCAAATCCAGGATGCGCCGCTGGCTTCACTAAACTGCTTTTCTGGGAATTTTCTATTGTTTGTGGCAATTGGCAGGCTCTCTGCTCGCCGTGAGGCATTTTTTGAGCATCCTCCTGAAAATCTCACAGATTCACGGGGGACGGAGGGCCACCCGGAGTGCGGGCTGGGCGTCCGCATGTGCACGGGGAAGGGAGTGTGGAAATGAAGACCAGCGGAGAGCGAAGTCAACGGTCATCAGCAACTCCTGTGACCACCGTGAAGATGCACAGTGAAGCCATCCCCATTTTCCCAGAGCTGGCTGTCACACACTTCAGAGGTGACAAAGTAAAGCAGGAACTCCAATAGCCTATACGTATATACAAAGTTGGCAAAAATAAAGATAAAGACATCTGTACTCAGGGAAATCGACTGTTTTTAAAACAGTACAAATGCACCTTGTTTTTCAAGCCTTTTCTTCCCCGTTGCCTATGCCACGGGGCCACCAGGCCGAAGGGAACAAAGACGGAGGGGCAGTGGCTTGGTGCTTCCTACAGGTCGATAAAGACCTGCCCTGCGTCACCTGCGTCAAACTGAACTGTGACACCTGTGGGATAGCTGGAGGCATCTCCTCTCCCCTGGGACTCAGAATATCAAAGCACTCCACCTGCCCCGGAGGTTCGGTTCCTTGGGCCGTGCAGCCTTCAAGGTCCACACGTCAGCCCGGACCTCACCTATACTGAACGCATCCGGTCTGCTCTCCAACAGGCCGCAGAACTTGACAACCAGAAGCGCGCTTGGTGGCCATCTGATCCAAACCTCTTATTCTAGGCCGTAAATAACATCCTACTTGAGCACGACAGGAAGGCGCAGATGTGCACACTTTTTACAGCGTTTTTAAAGGCTGGTTTGTTTTTATTGCATTACTGTTTATTTGCTAAGAAGGAGGAAGGAGCTGTGAAGGAACAGGACGGGGAAGGGTAATGGCGAGATGCTGGCAGAAACGGCGGGGAGCTGGCTCCCAGTCTCTGGGTTATACCCCCTTCCTTTTCACCTAGACCCCGAACAAGGGCCTCCAGCGTGGGCATCACTGGGCTAGCGAGAGTTCTGGCCTCGTGTTGTGAAAAAAAGACAGCATTTTGTACGTGGTCGCAAGTCCCCTAACATGGGAGTTTCGTGCTGG